TTTATTATTTTCAAAGGCTCATTAGTTGTTTAGAACTATTTGCTAGTTTACACCTTTGCCCACTTAACCCTTCAATTCGGTATTGGGTCGAGGAAAAATAATATTATTTTTATTTAATATTGTTTACCTACTTACATGAATGCATATGCTTATTATCAATTTCCATAAGTGATTCTTCATGTAAATTGATGGAGGAAGATGTTGGAATACAAGCTTTTGTTTCCTAAAAGTTAATTATCTTTAAAACATTAATTAATACAAAATAGGTGTAGAAAGATGCATTTTACAGAAAATTTAATTTAAAGTTCTAGGTAAATTAAACTCTGAACAAGATTCAAGTTTTAATATTGATTGTTAAAACTTGAATCGCGTTCAGAGTCTAAAAGAAGCCTGTCTCAGTCATTTATTGCTATTAAAATTCACAAAATAATGTTTGTAACAAACAAGATAATTGTACTAAATAGTATGAATATATCATTAACTTAATATTTACCAGAATTGGTAGAGCATAAGGTAATAGCAGAGTAAGTTTCTTCTTTGTTATTAACATCTTATCCTTAAAATGTCTGCTGCAAATTTTTGATGACGGTTTTGGTGTCCAGTCTGTTCGTCCTGTAGCTACAATCCAATTCCGACGTAAATTATCATGTTCAGGAAAACTGCAACAAACCATTCAATCTTTCAGATATTTAATTAATAGACACTACAGAATACATATCTGTACACCTTAGGCAAATGATCATAAGTCACATTAAGCTAATTGTTCAGTGCACACGTTTTAAGTCTCAATTTGGACATTACTACACAATTGTAAATAAAAATTTATAAATTAAATAAGATATTAATAAAAATGTAATTAACTAATTAAATAATGAACTTGGGATATGCTATCTCTAAACACTAAAGATATTTTTTTATAAGTTACATGTAATAAAAGAACATTCTAAGTCTTGATTTTCAAGGCACAATGAAAATCATGTTTCATTAATCACAAGTTTTGTTTACTACTCATAAGCATTATCGTCGTCGGGAAAGTCCGATGCAGTGGAAGATTGTGGATTTTTTATAATAGTCATGACAATATGACGGCAATTCAATATGAATGTAAATCTTGGTATCTTTATATTTTTTGGCTGAAATTGAAATTAAGTTTTGGTTCATATTTTGTAAACTTCCTGGAAAATTCAACTCCTTCCTCTTCTGACGCCTTAAGTCTGTCATTTTAAAATTTTGATTATCAAATGATTTTTTATAAAATAAATACCCAGTTTCCTTTTCTAACTTGCAAAGTAACTGACTTTGAAATTTGAAATGGTTCCTTATCAATATTTACTTTTCTATTAATAAAAGGACCATTAGTAAATAATAAATATTAAAATCTTCAAGTTCCATATTGTTGACTGTATATTTGTAAAAACATAGCGGAATAAATTGTTGCCAGTCCCAAGGTGTGTAGGTGTAGGTAAGTTTTTACATCTTCTCTTAATATTGTATCTGCTTATAATATATATAACTTTGAACTGAGAAAATTTTTAAGAAGGAAAAACATGCACATGACAACATAAATATTCTTATTTTGCACATAACAGTTATCTGACCTGGTCACTGACTGATATGGTCGTTTGTTCAATATCTGATCCTGGTACATTTTTAGATGCCCAGTTTAAGATGTTTGAAGCTATTTCGTTTCCATCCCTTTGAGCTTTAGTTTCATCCCACATAAATAGAAATGCAGAACTGTCAGAACCATCATAAATATTGTAATTTAATATCCAAATTTTTCTCCTATAGAAATTAACCCCATTTTAGGTCTGTATTTTGATTCAGACATATCCTGCGATTTATGTTTGTACCTATTATCAGCTTCAATAATTAAAGGTAAATCTTTTTCTATTTACAGAAGTTGTTTCTCAGTGCCATCCTACATCCCTTTAAGTTTTGCTGAAAACATATCGCAATCGTCACAAGTATAAAGTAATTTGTAAAGATCTTACATTCGTTCAATAACATCTCTTCGATCTCTCACGATTGTATTAACATTTATACTTTAGGAGAGATGAAATGTGGGACATAATAGATTTAATAATTTCAGGATCCGTTTAGTAAGATGGTTTATGTTTCCCCCTTTTGTCACTTTCAACAATACATCCCTCTTATCTCAATCTTAACCACTTGTTGGGAAATTTAGAAACATTGTCTTACAGATTGCTGTTGTTATACCATTAACAACAAAGAATACACTAAAGTATTTGATCCTAACTTAGATTCATCTCCTGATCTCAGTCTTTGTCTAGTTGTAGGTTTTGACTGGACACATGATACTATGAATTACCTCTTAACATTGTAGTCTTTTTCTGGATCCCAATAAAAAGTAAATATCTCTTTCTTATTCTGCTGGAATATTTTAGTACTGCATTTCATGCGGAAATTCGTGCTACATGCAGCACTTTTGTTCATGTAAGCTTAAGATCATTTCTTATTCGCTTTTTTCCTGTCTGCTCTATTGTACTTCTATTCCGATCTTTTATTTTTTTGGTAGATTATTAAGTATGAATTTGTTGTAAATTATTCTGGCACATAGAATTTGGTACATCTTGAGATGTGCTTGGAACACCCTCTTCAAGCGCAGCCAAAGGCACAATTTACATAATACAATAAATAAATACAAATAATAAAGTGCAACTTACGTTCAAAAACAAACTTCTCATCTTATTTGGACTTAGGATGCTTTTGTTTTTGATAATTGAGCGGAACAAAAGCATAAATCCAGATCAGATTGTATACCTTTGAATTAACCTGGACTTAAAACATGTTAACGAGTTCAAAAGCATGTAGTTTTTTTAGTTGGACTTAAAAATACTTTACCACCAAGTAGATCGTTATTTTTTTTTGTTTCAATGACATTACAAAGTGAATGTCGAAAAAAATGGACTTAGGATAATACACCTTCGGTACGCAGATATTATTATTTCCTATAATAGTGGGTAATAACTTATAGAAAAGTTGGCCACACCGAAGATTTTAGGTTAAAATTTGCAATTGTTATTTTTGTACTTTTTAGCGATAAATTTACGTCTAGAGTACATTATACACAATGTATCTATTTTATTAAATGTTACAGACTGCCTAGTAACCGATAGTATGGTATACTTACGAATGAAAAGACAACCCCGCCATTTTCCTTTCACTATCACTTTTACATCCTAAGGCTGGTTTTATCGTTACGCGTTTTGGCGGCGCTGTTGGTGCGCGCGCGTTCGGATATGTATCGGCGTAGTAGTTGCGTTTCAAAGTCGCGCGCTTGAGCAGCGCCGTTCGGTAAACGCGCGTTGTTCACCGGCGCTGCCGAAGCGCGCGCCGCTCGGGCGCCTCTATATCCAGTATGCGTTTTAGTGTGACGCCGTTGAGACGCGCCGTTAGGTACTGTGGTGTACAAAATGAATTACATCGATACGGGACGAGTAATTGAGGAAGTACGATTTAGAAGATGTTTATGGGACCCGGCGGATGATTCATACAAGAATAAGGACGCGAAAAATAAAGCATGGGAAGAAATTGGAAAGGAATTGTGTGGTGAAAATTTCAACACAGACTTAGGTAAGAAAAATTTATTAATAAAATAATTTTTGTTACATGTATTACTTGGTACCTTGGATATGTAGGTAAATTAATCTAAGCACGACAATATTACTGCATTTCGTTCTATTTATTGAATTTCGAGGTAGGTAAAAAACGGTCGGAATATCTCTGCACCTCGCTGGAATGCGATACCCCTCTCGCGTCCCCCTCACCACGCCGCGCTCGCCCGATTGGATTTACAGTTACACCCGGCAGTCAGGTAAAAAATATCATATTTCTAGAGATGCTTATTTAGCACACCGTACCGTGAATGTGACGTCATCGAGCGAAGTGCAGAAATAATGTGACCGAGTTGTAGGTATCAACTAAAAAATTAGAACACAGATCTATCTTGCCATGACACGCTACCAGTGGGTGATACGAAGTAATCAGCGAATATATCGCGTAATGTGTTTCCTGATCTATGATCTGATTGGTCACTTAAATCAGTCATTCCCGTTATAGTTAATGTGTTATTAACGTTGTAGCCATCCCGTACTCTAACAAAATTATGCAATATGCAACAGGCTTGAACTATCTTTTTTGCGACAGGAAAACTGACACTCATAGGAGTATGGAACACTCTGAATTTGTTGGACATTATTCCAAACGTCGACTCTATGTACCGTCTAGCACGACTTAAGCGATAATTAAATACCTTCTTTTTATGAGTCATGTTGGATCGCACATAAGGTCTCATCACATGGTTGGATATACCAAATGCACCATCACCGACTATGATGTGTGTATATTAGTGCCCGGCAGATTTTTTACACCAGGTAAACTTAATGTATTGTTCTGTAACTTTCGAAAAAGTGAACTCTCTTGAAATATTGTAGAGTCTGAGTTTTTTCCGCAAGATCCAATGTTAACATAGGTAAAACAATAGTTCGCATCGCACATTGCCAAAAGGTAAATAGAATAGACATGTTTAAAATTATAAAACATAGAGCCTCCACCTGCCGGATTTATTACACGTATATGTTTACCATCTATCGCCCCGCAACAATTTGGAAAATTTGCATATAATTTAAATTCTTCACTAATGCGCTGCCACATTTCTATAGTTGGTTCAGGTATACATTCATGACGAAGGTTTTGCCATACAGCAGAACAAACTTCATCTACTATATTAGCTACAGTAGTAATTCCCATTCTGTATGCGATGGATAAATCGGAGAAAGTACAGCCCGTTGCCAAAAACCTGAAACAAAAAAGTATTTCCATTTGTCATTACGTAAAAATATGTTTTTATTACAGATAAACAAATACGCCAGCGATGGAAATCGGCTAGAGACAATTATTTTAGGACAAAAGGGAATATACGAAAAACGCCATTGGGAAGCGCTGCAAAACACTAAAAGTATCTGTTTTTCGAGCAAATGATATTTCTCGATCGTATTTCTGAAAATGAAGTCACAGATTCATTGAGCGACAATGAGTTCAGGGTATTTGAAGATTTGACCAATAGAGAAACATATGAAGCAGCCACATCTGCGAGTAACATAAATACTCCATCCCAGCTCCACAGACAACAAGAGAGCATAGAAAATAGTAATGATACTCCCAGATGGAATCAAAAGAGGAGAAATAAACGGAAATCTGATCAATTGAATTTTGAAAATGAATTAATAACGATATTGAATCAAAATACTCCCACTTCCAACCTAAGTCCTGATGATTTATCATTTTTTGAGTCTCTTGCTCCAATTTTAAATAATTTAAGTGCTTATCAAAAGCTGCAACTTCGCTCAAAGGTTATAGGATTAGTCATGGAGATTTCACCTCCAACGACTTCCACACCTTGCTTTTTGTCACCACCGGAAAATAATGTTAATTCCAATAATGAACATGAACAACTCTATGAACCTGCAGTAGATTATCCAAATGATACGTCCCCAACTGACGACAATAATTTCCCCAACAACGGTTTCATGACGTAATAAGAGAGTCAATATGTTAACGTCTCGCCGATATTTTTAAAATTATGTCTGTTAAATTACTGATAAAACGGAAATTATACATACACCAACATGTTTCTGCAAAATAAATATGATTTAAAGTTATTCGATACTCTTTTATTTCACTTACCTTAGAGTGATCGCCAATTTTTCCACAGGAGTTATGGGGATGCAACGTAAGCTGGATCGTCGTAAGGAAAACTCTAACTTGCAGAGTAATTCGTCGAAACTGCTTGTTGATAGGCGAAAATATTTATAAAATTTATAATTATCTTCTCGTAAATCGGAGAAAGATGTTACGTGTTCGCCTCTCAGTAACCTTGTACCGTTATAAGGATCAACTACTCTTCTTCTAAATCGCTGTTGCCTTCTTTTCCATAAAATGTAAACAGCCAGTACTCTAACTGCATTAACGTGAGACATTTTGTACACGACTGTCCCACAGCAGCGGAACGCGCGGTACTAATCTCGTTTTATAGTGCACCGCTGTTCAAGCGCGCGCTGTTAACAGCACGCTGCCCAGCGGTGCGTCTAGCGGCGTGACGATAAAACCACCCTAATACACTACACCGCACCATGTTTTAAATAAAAATGGTTGGAATACTACGTCTTAATTGTTCACAACAAAATATAATATGAAATACTTATCATAAAACACATAAAACAGTATTTTATACAAAGAATTTATCACGCTACACGTTAGCTGTCAAACTTTATTTAGCAAAGTGGTTTGCTAAATATTAGAAATGGCGACACGCTAAGCGAAACAAAAAATCTCATCGTTCTTTCTCATTTCTTTACACGACATCGGCGTAAGTTGCTCTTTCTCTTGTGTGACTGCGATAAAAGATATCACTTTGTCTATAGCATTCCTCTGTCTACGAGTTGAAGTCTTAAAAAATTGCGTTTCATTAACTTTTTCGTTTTCTAAATGTACTTATTTATAGACGCTTTGGGTTTTAGTGAAAAAATGACTCAGTGGTCTTTTTTGGGAATTAAATTTTAGTGGTTTCTTTTAGGAATTTCCATAGTTTATTTTATTTATTTCTAATCTAATTAATAAAAATATAGGTAACTAATATTCCAGAAAGAAACGTAAACATTTACGTATTTCTAACAATTTCACTTTGCCAAATATTTCATCCTATTCCAAAGTGGTGTCGTCGTCCGAGTGGCAGAAAAAGTTGTAAAAGCCTTCATGGTCGTAGAAAAACGGCAGTTGCCGTAGCATAAGCTTCTGGCACTGGCAACGGCAGCACTGGAAAAAATCGCTAAAAACCATTGCTAGCATAATAAGTTTGTGCTAAAGACACAGTTTAACTCTTTAAACTTTGGCTAAAATAAATGTTATCATCAGAGATCCTTAATTTACACGTGCATACTTATTAGATTAGGTACTATTTTGTAAATGACTAGGTGTTTAAATTGTTAAATTCTAAGCGGTTTCTTGTACTATTTTCTTGTTCTCTATGGTGATAATTTAATAAGGCAACTTTAAAATTAAATGTCAAACAGTGTAATTGTCTATACCCATTGTCTTTGTCAAATCTCTTTTTCATCTGGTTGTCAAGATGGTGAGTTTCATCAAAACAAATTTAAATTAAATCAATAAAAATCACAGTGAAATTCTATTGGAGTGGAAAGTTTGAGTGTTTTTCGAATAAAGCTGTGTTATGGAGATGTGTTTCGTTTCTTATTTCAGGGAGTTGACATCAACCACAAACACGACAGGAAAGTTAGGCGCACCGAAGTTAAGTCTAAGGATGTATACCTTAGGCTTTTGGTTAAAGTAAGTTATGTTATGATATATGTAAAATAAAATTAATCAGTTCCCATTTTCGCAGGAAAAAGGCAGGTTGTAACAGTAGCAATTCTTTGTTTACAGCTTTATAGGTACTTGGCTAGGCGCACAAATGCTAAATTCAACCAAATTATTTTGCGCCGATTGTTCATGAGCCGCATCAACAGACCACCGATTTCCTTATCTCGCTTGGCGCGCCACATGAAGAAGCCAACTCGTGAGGGTCTTATCGCGGTAGTCGTCGGTACCGTCACCAATGATGTCCGTCTATACAAGGTCCCCAAGCTAACGGTGGCTGCACTACACGTTACTGAGAAGGCTCGTGCTCGTATTTTGGCTGCTGGAGGTTAGTAAAATTTATTTCACTTTGTCAAATTTAAAATTAGGTTATAAAGCATGTCTGAAAACTTCCCATACAAAGATTTTTTATGATATACAAAATACATAGAAATTAATGTTGATTGAGATTAATAATTATTATAATTTGAACAAAAATAATACACAAGCACTATAATATTTTGGTTCTTATTTGTTTGTAATGATTAATGTTACAAGTAATAGAAAGATTATCATCATATATTTTTTGTAATTTAAAGTTGCATTAGTTATGTTTATCTTATGGGAGTTAACAGTATTTTAGGAAAAACCAATGGACATGATTAAAACTACTTTTACGGATTTTATCGCGTTTATTTTTACTTTTTATTTAAACCAATGGAATCAAATGAGCAGTGTAGTAGTGGTGTTAGAAAACTGACTACCTCATATTATCCTGTGTATGTTGTAAGAAACAACTGGGGGAAGTGAAACAGGAGATAGTCAGCAGCATCTTCCTGATAATGGCTCTAAAATACTAAATTGGAAATTATACTCCCCTACAAAGCGATCCATAGAAGAGGCCTGTATTCACCATGTGTGCATTTGATAAGCTATAATGAATAAATTGATAAAAATGGGATTAATTTCTTACTAACCAAAAAATTAGATCTTTAAATGTGTTAAAATTTAGGGGTTACATCCTAATTTGTATCACAAGTACTCATTACTGGGTCCACTGGACTCAATATATTAAGCTTATTCCAAAACTACTTTATAAACGTAAATGGTTACTTTCTAATATGGATTTGATGTGTTAAGAAAAATATAATAGAATCAGATACTAATATTTAGTGTTTTTACTTGAACAAAAGCTATTACAAAAATATACTTAATTTCTCCAAACACAATAATGTACAAAATAATAATATATAATGTATAAATACTTACTTGTACAAAATAAAAATGGAAATATATCTTCTATGCCAGAGGGGCGAAACTCTTTGGAGTAAATGTTGTCGAAGATACTTCGCGAGTCGCTCACATCCTACACCTATAGGTTCCCGAGGGTACTTTCACTGCCGTCTTTGTAGGTGCCGCTGAGATATTGTGGACTGAGGTTCAAATCAAAATGCACGATTTATAAATACAAATAGCAAGGTAGTGGCCAGCGGTTCGACTGATTGATTAGTCGTGAAATTTTATAACTATTGTTTATTGACCACAGTTGTTGCACTACAGTTGTTCACTATTGGTTGGTCACTGTATATTTCAAAAGATTTCTTTAAATTGTATGGTAGCATTAAATATCTATTGGTAGTAGCTGGTTTTCTAACACTACTGACTAGCAGCTATTATCAACTAAACTAGCTGATTTTATCACTTGTGTAACTACGGATATCAGTTATCACTTTCACTATATGTAACTGCGAATATCAGTTACGACCTTTTTCGGCTAGCTAACACTCACTATATGTAACTGCGAATGTCAGTTACGACCTTTTTCGGCTAGCTAACACTTTCACAATTCACTATATACTGCTACTAGTCACTTCAGCTACTACCGGATACTACTGCTTGTCACTGATAGTTCTTCACACTACTACCCTATGCCCAGTGTTGCCAGACGTTTTGAACCTTTTATCTGTATTAGACACTGCTAAAATCTGTATTAAATCTGTATGCTATTTAAACTTAAAATCTGTATAAAATCTGTATAATTTAATAAACCAAAATAGAATAATTGATCATCATCATCATCATTGCTTTTTTTGAAAAACAAGGAATAACTACTAACGTGATAAGCAGATACAGTTTGATTATCGTTATTATTAATTAAAAATATTTTTTTATAGAATAAGGGTGACAAACGAGCACACAGTCCACCGATGGTAAGTGGATGCTGTGGCCCATAGACATCTACATTTATACTCGCTTAAGAATTAAAACGCAGATACGTTGTCATGCCTGAGGACCAAGAGGGGATGCCTCATTTCCACTAAAAAGGGTCTCTGGATTTCTACTTTCACCATACGAAACACAGCAGTATTAAACTGGTATTTTACGCTGGTATTCTGTGAGAGCGTGGCCCTTCCCCTGTCGAGCATCAGCTATTATGGTTGCAGTGCTGCAACCATAATATAGCTGCAACGTGGCTCTACCGCGTATAAAATATACACTATACACAAAATTTTTTATATAGCAAAATTGAAAACATTAATTTAAGCAAACAACATATTAAAACTCAAACATTTGCCAAATGAACATATAATTACTTTATTATTTTCAGTCATACATATTTTATACACAGGGCGTTAATGTAAACACCGTTATACTTGAAACCAGTGGTTTGGTTTCACTTATAGAACGTAAATTCAATGAAAAATAACAACATTTTTTTTTTAGTAAAATCTCAATTTTTCCTCAATTTTGCCTGTCCTAAGCCAGGGTGAAAGTATGAAGGAAGTTTCATCACAGGTTATGTGTACCTATTGTGTTTTTATTGTAATATAGTGTAGGTAGCTAGCGCGGGCGGTGATCTTTACAGTGATTATGTCACGCAGGCGCATAGGTTATCGATGAATTTACGGACGGTTTCGGACAGAAACCTCTTAAATTTTATAAAAGAAAATAGGGTTTTTTTTAGAATTCGGATAAATATTTTAATATTAAAGCCTACTAACTAAACTACCTATGGTTTTAGTGAAAACTGTGTTTACACTTACACCTTGTATACATATTTTGTAATTAATACACTTGTAATTCTGCCATGATAACTAATTACGCTGTGAAAAAATAAATTAACCATAAATAATAAAATCATAAATGTGTGTAACGCGGTATCTAGTTACTTATTTTGCTTCATTCTATTTTAAATTGCATATTATGGTAATCCAATCAATAGAATTAGAAAACTCTGTATAAAAATCTGTACCCAGTGCTAATCTGTATCAGACACCAAAAATCTGTATAAATACGGGGGAAATCTGTATATATGGCAACACTGCCTATGCCTATGGGGCCCGAGCCCCTAAGGTAGACTTTGGCTATACCTTACAGTGAGCCGCTTGCCATTTTCCATTTTGCGTCTTTATTGTATAAACTTCATCAAAACATTAACATTGTAAAAAGTTATTAAACGAAATGTCCCAAATTTTCATAATATTTGTGTATATTAATTCTTTGATTTTTATATAACTACCAAATGCGTTTAATTATACAAAATATTCCTACACTTTCTTAATCTATAAGCCATATGCTAATTCAATGTCATATTTACAACTCTTTTAGAACATAAAATTATTTTCATTATTTTTAGTATGAACTATTACGCAGTTAATTAAAAACTTCTAGAGAATTCTACGATAAGACGCGCTGTGATTGGTCGATTTTTCTTAATATAATAAAAGTTGTTTATATTACTTGTTATCAAAACGACATTCTATACAAATATACTAAGAGTTATAAACATGCTACACAACTATATCAATACACGTTTTCACCCAGTTTTGTCGGTAATTCCACTGTTAATACAAAAGACAATATTCTCTATCACTTTGTTTCTTAGCATTTTTAGGCCGTCGCGAAGTGTAATTTTCTTTTAAGTAAAATTACACTTTCCAACATTCCAGTGACACTTTTTAAATTGATGGACTATCAATGTCATAACAGCGATAATCTGTAGTCACCACTTAAAGATTGTTTTCTTGCAGCATTTAGTCAGTTCAACTAACTAATGCTGCACTACCTCTAAACCACCACTACTACCACTGTTAATGCATGTAGCATTTCACTCTTATACCTAATTAAAAAATAGTATTGCATATTTTTTACCAACTTATTCTTTAGTTTCCATTGGTTAAATTCCGATACAATATTTATGCTGGAATAGAATGTTTACCGTGTTTGTCTTTCCTTTGGATTTTTAAAGTTCTTTGATTATAACATTTATTTTGTTTGTCCTCATATTCAATTTTTTTATAAGTATCAGATATGAGATAAAGATAAAAAGAGAGATCGGGAATAAGTGCATATATGTTGTGCTATATGCACATTTTATACAGCTTAAAAAATAATAAATCTTATGTTTTTCTAATTGAATAGTGATCTCTACGACTGACCTCTGCCTAGTTGATAATATTCAGTAGAAATTTCTAGAAAATTAGTTCTGTTTTTCTACTACTATTGTTATTATTTATTAAAACAACTTATTTAAAATTGCCATAACAAACACTCCTTTACCAGTCAGTAACAGTACTGTTGTCATAGGCGTCTTCTAGTATAAAAAGGATTTCTGTTGTTGCCATTTTTGGCAGTCAGATTGACAATGAGGGCTAATAATCTTCCACTCACCAGATCTCGCTAGTTGACACTGAGGTGAAGTTTTTTGTCATGTGAAACTATTTAATTGAGAAGTTAGTTTTAAATAAACATTAATCCCTTTCTAGAGTATGATGTTAATGCACAATACAATACTTTCAGTTATTTGACCTTTAATTTTTCACATATTTTGAACTCTTCTTCTTTTAGTAATATCCACAGTTTAGTTTATTCAATTCTAATATAATTAACATGAAATATAACTAATATAACGCCGCCACCAATGAATTGTTAATTGCAATTTTAAGTGCTGATTTACCACATGCTCAGTGGTGAAGGAAAACATCGTGAGGAAACCTACATGTCAGAGAAATAAGAAAAAAATATTTCGAAGACATGTGAAGTTCGCCAACACGCATTGGGGCAGCGCGGCGGACAATTCCTTGCCCAAAAACCCTCTCAGAAATGAGCGGAGACCTGTGCCCAGCAGTGGGACGTATATAGGCTGTAACTTTACTTTTACTTTTTATAACTAATATCACAGACATTAACTCTTACATTTTTTTAACAAATTAACTTCCCTGCTATGAAATCTGTCAAATATTTCATCTTTTTCCAAAGTGTTGCCACCCTGATGGCAGAAAAAGAAAAATATTGCAGAAAAATACCTTCCTTGCAGTACCAATGTCTTCTCTGATGAGCTCCCTTTTTAATGAAAAGGGAGCTCATCAGGGAAGACATTTGGTCAAGATATTACAAATTTAGGAAATGACAATCTTCTAATTTAATTTGATCTGTGCCAAAATACTTTTGGGACACTGAAACTGTACAAAAAAAAATAACAGTGCCATAAGTATATGCACAAACAAAGGCTTCGAATTGTATTTTATATGGAGTGGCGTAGACTAGGATGGTGACAATCACTTCATAATTTGACACAACATGATGTAATAGATACTCTGAACAATAAGCAAGCAAAACTTTTTTTTTATAGAATAAGGCTGACAAACGAGCACACAAGCCACCTGATCATAAGTGAATACTGTGGCCCATAGACATCTAATTTATCCCCAATTAAGAATAAAAATGCAGATGTTACTTAGCTAGCATTACTTATATAGTCATTAGTAACCTCTATTGATTCTTACAAGAGCAAATGGGTAGATGATTTCTCTTCTCCACCACTGTATAGTTAAGGCCTTTATATTTATTTGCCATCACATGTAGAATACTAATTTTTTCCCTGTCCTATGAAATAGTACATAAATATAGTCAAAAATTGAACATATGAAGTCATGTGATATATTTGTGTACTGTCTATAACTTGTTATGTATATAAGAAAACAGTTGTAACCTTTATTAATTTAAATAAAAGTTACCACCAATCCAAAATTTCCTAGCAAAATAGCTTCAAATATTGCTACTACTCTTTTCAGGAGAGATCCTCACTTTTGATCAGCTGGCCCTCCGTGCCCCGACTGGCCGCAAGACTGTGTTGATGCAGGGCCGTAGAAACGCTCGCGAAGCCGTGCGTCACTTCGGTCCAGCACCGGGAGCGCCCCGCTCGCACACCAAGCCTTATGTGCGCTCAAAGGGCCACGAACGTGCTCGACCGAGCCGTCGCTCCAATGTGTAATCTTTTTAATATAAGGAGTACTATCTATTGTGGATTTTTATTTTATTCCAGTACTATGCCATACACCACAATGATCACCAGGTTTTATGGCATTCCTCAGGGGAGGCCTATATGGTGCACTGAACTTGTGAGGGGGGGGGGGGGGGGGGGTGACGAAAATAAAATGGTTAAAGTTTGTGTCTCTAGCATAAACTATTCTTCTACTGACATCGTCATTTTTATTTTCCAATTACGAAATATGAGGCCAACACTGATAAACCATAACTTAATAAAGAATCTAGTAATATAGTATTACTTTATGAAAAGTTTTCCTGACAATTACATTTTTGAATTATTTTAACAGTGGTAACTTATTTCATTTTTTTAAATAGATAAGGCCTGAATAATTATTCTCAAACAAATGAAACTTATGTGATAGATTGCAGAATAATAACAGTGTGCATAGGTAGTTATTTTGGAATGAATTAACATAATATAGAAGTTTTACGAAATTATTGCTAATACAATAAATAATAAAATGGATATACGTAAGCGGCAAAAGTACTATAATTTAATGTTATTAATGGATATGAAGTCCGATAAAGTTTGTACAAAAGGAGAGTAAACTAAATTTGACAAAGACTTAAGATTTGTAGTGCGAGGGATGTTATTAGGAAGGAAATTTTAGAGCTTAAGGCAGTTAAAAAAATTATGATCAATCGTACCTTTGTCTAATCCACACTCACAAATTGAGCTATCACCTGTACTTTTATATATATATATATATATATATATATATATATATATATATATATATATATATATATATATATATATATATATATATATATATATATATATATATATATATATATATATATATATCACATCACAATATTGATTCAACGTCCTTTCATTTCGCATTATTGTAGCGTCCACCACTTGTAGGCAATTTTTATACACTATGACCGCGAATATTGGTCCATTAAACAATTTTAAAGATAGTGTTTAACTAATTTTTTTGAAAATTTACCATATGTCAATATACAAATATTCATATATTGCCAGACGGAGCGAAACCAATGAGGACTCCCTTCCATATTACAAATTATCCAGAATCCCCCTGTTTTTAATTCATTCTCCTGCTTAACGCAATTCCTTTGTATGGTGCGACGTTGCCACTCTTATTAGTTATTCCGCTTTGTAATATTTTATTTATAGGTGATATTTTGTTTATGTAGGTATTCGATAGATTCCTATAGTCTGTTTTTTCGCAGGAGACAAAAATAACAGATCTTTATTAGATTCGTTTAGCACGAATAATACAGTTTTTACGATTCTGGTTCAGATTAGATTTAATTTTAGTCACTTAAGTAATACGTTTACACGTATATTGTTCAAAATAATGAAAGAAATCCACAGAATGTGCAGTTACGAAAAATACGCAATATCATTTTTGTCTCTGGCGAAAAAAAAACAGATAGATATCATGATTAATTTACCAACTAGTTATTCGTTTACTAAATATGAAAAAATATCTAGGATTGCCTAGCTGTGATACATTATAGATTGACTATATTATTATTTATTTTACTATCGTAAATAAGTACTAATTGTAGATATTGACAGGTTTAATAGAAGTTCATTTTCTTATATTGTGACTAATAACCTAATATGACCTTGGGAAGAAACTCATTTTAATATAAGGTTTTACTGCATTAACTGCCAATGGGTTGTTAATTTCTACAATAGACCGTGGCGTATTGTTTCTGAAATTAATAACTCCGAAAATATAATTTATTTACTTGATCGTATTGAGTTTTGGCGCTCTCACTGCGAGTTTATTTTTTATGATCACTATCTTAAGGATGAGTGCGAACTATTTAGCTAATCTATACAAAATTACTCTTTACTTACCTAGATTCATTTTTGTGAAAGGCTATTTTTGTTAAATTATGATATTATGTTTGGTTTTGCAGTTAGTTGAAATACAATTTGTTTGTGTTTGTTGTTATAAATATTGGACGCTATATTACTAAAAACATGCATAATCGTGCTTTAATTGGCGTCCGTATTGTGATCTACGCACATTGAGAACTTTCCACACTTATGCTTGCTTGCATTTAAGTTTCTTTGGTTATATTTAGTAACATAGGTAAATAAACTTCTGTAAGTTGATTAATGTATTTGACATGGACATTGAACGGAGTATTTACCCCATATACGGACGTAAGAATATCCTAAAATATTCACACTAAGTTTTATTTGACGTCCACTTCTTTGATATCCGATGTCCAAAGTTGTTGTTGATTATTGCATTTTATTACTTATTTATGTTGATTATTTATTTAGTGATCAAGACATATTTTAGTATTTTTTGTTGGTTTATACTGTACTCAGTGCTAGTAGATAATTTTACTTTTCAATTTGTTTTCGTGTCCTTAGATTTAGCTACATATAATAATATGTATGTCCGAATATCCTAAAACATTCATACTGAATGATATTTGATGTCCATATTTTTGAATTTTGTTATGTTTCTATATGTGGACGTCAGATTATCGGTAAAGTTTCATACCGCACGACATTTGACGTCCATATAACCATGAATATATTTATATTTTAATTTCTTGTGTATAAAACACACATTAATGATCATTACTTTAATGAGATTTTTTTGCTATTGATTTATTTTTATTTTAGTGTAGGGACCATGCGGTGTAAAATAGTCACTTTGGTATTTTATAAAATGCTCCATTCTAGAAACGATAAAACGCTTATAAAACCTTTCTTATATCTTTTTTGATAAATGTTGCCGTTTGTATTGGTTTTTGGGGCACTGTGTGCGCCAAAATCTTAACTTTAAATTACTACCTGTGTACGCATAGTAATATGGACGTCCGAATATCCTGAAACATTCATACTGAATGATATTTGACGTCCATATTTTTGAATTTTGTTATATTTCCATATGTGGACGTCAGATTATGGGTAAAATTTAATAACGCACAATATTTGACGTCCATATAACCATGAATATATTTATATTTTAATTCTTTGTGTATAAGACACACAATAATGATCATTGCTTTAATGACATTTTTCGCTATTGTTTTATTCGTATTTTAGTGTAGGGAGGCCATGCGGTGTAAAATAGTCACTTTGGTGTTTTATAAAATGTTTCGTTCTAGAAATGATATATATATAAACGCTTAGAAGCTTAAAAGCGTGTGTGAAAAATTAAATTGTATTTCAACTAACTGCAAAACCAAACACAATATCATAATTTAACAAAAATAGCCTTTCACAAAAATGAATCTAATTAAGTAGAGAGTAATTTCGTACAGATTAGGTACAATAGATGCAATGAGAGCACCAAAACTCAACACGATCAAGTAAATAAATTATATTTTCGGAGTTATGTCTGCAACAATATGCCGCGGTCTATTGTAGAAATTAACCTATTGGCAGTTAATGCAGTAAAACCTTATATTAAAATGAGTTTCTTCGCCAGATCATATTAGGTTAGAGGTTATTAGTCACAATATAATAAAACAAACTTCTATAAAACCTGTCAATATTTACAAGGTAACTTATACTTAACTTCAGACTTATACTTAACTTATAATTCAGAAGGTAACTTATACTCGAAACAGAATTATGGGTTGCTTACGAAATACCTAACAAGAGTTCTTTTAGGCAGATTAGTACCAAATGTAAAATATATTCAGCATGAAATAAACCGATAAGCCGACGTCCGCATCTACATTTATAAAAATATAACTAAATTCAAAAATACGGGTGTCAAATATCATTCAGTGTGAAAGTTTTAGGATATTCGGACGTCCATATTATGTGTAGGTGTACGGTTAAGAAAACAAGTTTAAAAGTAAAATTACTAGTACCAAGCGTAGTGTAAACCATATAATAATGTCCTGCAGACCGAATTACGGTCACGGCGGCCTGCCTCAACGGAGACTAGCCATCGGCGCAGGACAGGATTATAGTGCCCAAGAGTATGCGCAAGCACAGGTGCTCTCTCTATTCCCTCACTCTCGTAATCCGATGGGACGGTAAACCGATACGACCGGAGAGAGATCAGGCGCAGGACAGACGGCTTTACATGCTTTCCGTGACACGGGGGCCAACTTCCTGACTCCGGGCAGCTACTGAGAATTACTTGACAGAAAAACTCAATAATTGATTTTTTGGCCCGGCCCGGGATTCGAACCCAGGACCTCACGATCAGCAGTCGCACTACTACAACCACTAGACCAACGAGGCAGTCATAACCACATATCACCAAATACAAGTAACACGTTGGCAACGGTGACGGAACGGCAACGTCGCATTTCCTAATTTTATGCGGAAGTCAAATACGGCCATAAATGAAAGTTATCACAAATCGACAGCAGCGCTATTATTTTTGCAACGAAAATTAGCGGAAATACGTAAATATTCAGAATAGCAAGATTGGAAGAAAAATGACGTCCAATTTTTTTTAGATTTTGACATTTCTGTGATCAGCATGACAATTTGCGAACATTGGGCTAAGTCTCCTATTTGACGTCCGTATATTGGACGTCGTAAGCAGGTTGACGCCACATTATATGCAAAATAAATTCGCCATAGTGGACGTACAATAAGTTACGGGATGTATATATATATATATATATATATATATATATATATATATATATATATATATATACATATATAAAAGTACAGTGAACAAGTGTGTCCCAATCTAATTCCACATATAACAGATGTACTATGTTTGGAGCCATTTCTGAATTAAAAAAACCGTGGTTTGGAGCGGATGTCAAGTTGAGTTCTGCATAATATTTACTGATAGACTTCTGAGATTTTTTCTAAAGAGAGTTCTAATCTGACATCTGATGGATTTTCGCAAGAGAAATAAGGTCATGAGTATATGTTATATGATGCATGAGGGTACTGGAAGTAGATGCTGGTTTTGCTAAGGAATCGACAATTTCATTGTCACATATGTCACTATGACT